CAAGTACCGGTCCAAAGGCTTCAGGTACTTGTGCCGATATCTCGATGGACAGTGGGCTCAGGTATTGATACTCCGTCATATAGGTACAAGTACCTAATAATTGGAAAAGAACTTGGAAGCAAGAGGACTAAGTATCGGTACGCCGTCACTTAGGTACTAGTACTTGGCAAATAAAAGGCTCAGGTACAGGTACCACGTGAGGTAGGTATCGGTACCTCTTCTTTGCCAAGTCTTTTGGCCTTGAGTCTTCTTGCTTAAAGAATATAATTTGTGAAATATTAAGGAAAAATTGATGTATATTGGACCTTGGAATGGTCGTGTAATGATGTGATGTCGGATTATGTGGCATACACATGTATTTTCACGAGTTGGTGGGTGATCAACAGGTTAAAAAAGGACTCCCAGATTTTGGGATGTCACAATGATTTTCATCATTCTACATCAAATCTTCCTTTTTTGATTGATGGTTTTAACAAGAAGAATGAGCCCAAACCCAGAAAACCAGCAACAAGCTCTGGCTCTGCCAGCCCTTCATGTTATTTAGTCTCCAACTAAAAACTAAGAGACTTACCAGTAAACAATGTTATGCCTCCTCAGGCAAAACTAACAAATCATTTAACTCCTTACTACCCAATAACCTCAATAGCCTTTATATCCCCTAAATGAGGTCATTGAAGAAGACAATTGCAATCAATTAGACGAAAAAGGAGGACAGAGCTAAAAATCGAACTAGCGAAGATAAGGTGCATGACCCTTAGCCTCATCCTCAACCACCTCCCCTAAACCTGTATTGGGAATAGAATTAGAGAGATCCAGGATGAAATATGTAACATCAAGAACATCACCAAAAATAGAGCTCCCATTTCCATGGAAGCTCTGGTCGAGAAAATCGATTCTCATGTGTGAAAGGAGATTCATAACTTTCTCCTTCCCTCTAAGTTCAAAATGCCCTTGATGGAGGCCTTCAATGGAACAAGAGATCCATTTGATCATCTCAACACTTATAAAAACCTGATGGAGCATTACGGTTATGAAGACCTTGTTTGGTGTAGAGCTATCACGATTACCCTCAAGGGCTTTACGCTGACCTGGTATCACAAACTATCCCCAGCTTCAATCAACTTGTTTAAGGAGTTGTCCATGCAATTTGTGTCATTTTATTGGTGTAAGGAGCCACCTCAAGCCTACATCCTATCTCCTCTACATCAAACAAAAGTCAGACGAGATGTTGAGAAAATATGTTTAGTGTTTCAATTTGGAAACCCTTTAGGTGGATGGCCTTAATGAAAAGATAGTTCTGGCAGCATTTATTGTTGAAAAGGTGGATGGCCTTCAAAATTCTTGTTTTTTGTGTCCATGCATCCTCAAACAAGTATGGTTGATGTGCCAACCAAGGTAGAAAAATACATGAATGAAGAATAGTTTCTTTGTGCTAGACACAGCTTTTTAGTTGTGTCAAATCAGCACGGAAGTAAAAAGTGAAAGAAGACTAATCCCACAAGAAACAAAGAGTGTTCTCTTTGTTGGAAAGGTAACGTGCGAGATCGCTTCAGGCCACGTAAACAAAACTTCTCTACTGAATAGTACACGCCCTTAGACACCTCGGTGGCCCAAGTTTTACACCAGGTCCAAAACAAAAATTTTGTTATATGGCCCTCTAAGATGAGGTATGACCCTCGTAAGAGGGATATGGGCAAGTTTTGCAACTTTCACAAAGATCATGGTCACTACACCGATGAATGCATCCGGCTCAAAAGAGAAATTGAGTTCCTTATCCAAAAGGGACATCTCAGGGGGATTCGTGCCCCGAGATGGGAATGACCAAGTTGGGAATCACTAGGAGCAACCCCAGACAAGACAACAACATCAATAGCCCATTGGAGAGATCCATCTCATCTTAGGAGAATTTACTAGAGTGGGAAGTCCAGTTTGGCTTGTAAGACACACGTGTGAAAGACTCGTTCAAAGGACTTCTCTAAAATTTGTGCAGTAAAGAAAACTCCTTGTCTTAGCATGGAAATTACCTTCTCCGACGCTAACTTGGATGAGTGTCAAGNGTAGTTATGTGACCACAAGGTAAATAATAATTATGACATGACCTATCCCACTTAGGGGTGACCACACATGGAAAACAGATCTAATTTGACCTAATTCCCCCTACCTACTAGACACTATAATAATAAAGAAACAACATAGAAAAAAAAAGAGAAGGAGATGTCATTCACAAAATTGAAGTTCAAGTTGCAACTAAGGATATAAAAAGTCCAAAAATTAGAATATTTTTACAAATGGAAATATTTCAAAGAAAGAAGCAGCTCTTTAGCTCATCGTTTTCTCAGTTCTCTACTCTCAGACCCTTCTGCTTGCAACTCAACCTCCTTTCCTACACCCTCTTCGGCGAGCTCCCCCATTTTCTCCTTGTCCTTCTCGGCCTTGTCAGTGGAAAATGGAGGCTCAAAGGAATCAAAGTCGAGCTTTAGGTACTTATCTTTCGGGTACTTCTCCTTGGCTTGATCTATAAATATATCTTACCCGTCTAAAAAGCTCTCAAAGATAGCTTTGTTGTATTCCCCATGCATGTTCTTAGTGCACAGATCGACCTCTGGGTTGGAACATCTCTTTGCCACCTTAGCTAACTTAAATTTTAAGAGGACAGACTCTTTTTCGATTTTGGATTTTTTGAACTTGGCCTCCTCAACAACAAGTATCGTCACATCTGATTTTGACATAGTCTCGGTCATCTTGGCTTGTTTCTTGGTCAACCTCTCCTTTAATGATTCTTCAGAATCCTTGAAGCCATTAACCTAGATGGTCAAATCTATAACCACAACCTTGGACATAGTTAGCTTGGTTGTCTTCTCGTCGCGATGCTTCTCTAATCTCTGAGTTTGCGTAATGAGAGTACTAATGTGGGTGGCAGCCTGTAAAGATTGGAGAAGAACACTTATAACAAATTTTGAAAAAAAGAATAGAAGAAAGGAAAAAGACGATACTGCTGCAAGGCCATGGAGTGCATTCATGGCCTTATCACCATGACTAAGTTTGGATGACTCACGAAGATCAACCTTAGACAAGATGCCCATGACCTTTCGAGCAGCCATAGTAGTATTACAGAGCAAGCTCTACTCTTTGGCACGCAAAGCAAGGACACCTAATGATGAACCAACATACTTCTGAGCTGCCACAATGGTAACCTCAACCTCGGGAGCTTTTTCAAAAGTAACCCCAACATCACTAGGAGGGGTTATCTTAAGAACCCCCTAACTCTTAATAGAAGAAACCTCTTCAAACCTGTCTTGAAGCATAAGAGGATCAGTTACTCCAGTGCTTTGGGGATCAAATAGGTCTGATGATTAGTCACCTTGGTTATTTTAGTCAGGCACCTTAGCCTCTTTGCAGGTATGGAGTCTACAACTGGCCTAACCTACTTTTTCTTAGCCAAGGCTTTCTTTAGAGCATCCTTGTCAAGACCCATTGCCGGAGGATCTGCAAAGAAAAAAAGAATAAGTCTAGTTAAGGAAAATACTAAGAAAGCCAAGAAAGGCATGGAAGATAAAATTACTAACTAGATGTGGCTTTTATGATTGGGGCTTGAGATTGTATTTGGCTAGCTTCTAGCTTCTCAAGAGTGACCATCTTTATAATACCTCACGCTGCATTTCTCAACCTAGGCGACACTAAGCTGTCTAGATCTATTCAGGATCAAAATTGGCTCATGTCTTGTAACCACAACAAAAATCAGGCTAGGTCCAAGAAAACATATCATTTACCAAAAGTAGAGTAATAGCAAAACAAACTTGNTATAGTAAAGCCCTAAGAGGGTCCAATGAGAGGGATCTAAAAATGGAAAAACTAGTCCTAGCTTTTGTCACAATATCTAGGAAACTAAGACTATACTTTCAAGCTCATACCATCAAAGTGCTAACTATCCAGCCAATGAAATACGTCTTGCACAAACATGAATCCTCAAGTCAATTGGTTAAATGGTCTATCTAGCTTGGGGAATTTCATATCCAGTTCAAGCAGAGGATAACAATCAAGGGACAAGTCCTCCATGATTTTGTAGTAGAGTTCACACCTCCTCATGAGCAGGCACCACCTCTTCGGAAAAAAGTTTTATCCGTAATGTTCTAGTGTGGGGGCTTGACATAGACGGGGCCTCCAATGCTCAAGGGAGTGAAATGGCTTAATTCTGACCTCACTAGAAGAATAAACCTAGAATATGATCTAAGGTTGGACTTATTAGTCTAACAATAAGACCAAAGCATTAAAAAATACTAAGTATAGGCTCCTCAGCCTTTGGCAAATAAACTCAGGTTTTTCATACCTCGTCAGGCTTCTAACAAACTATGAGCCCTGGAAAAATGAAACCAGCTACTTAATGATTCAAACTTCTCAGTCTCAAGGGCCACGAAACTAGAGTTCTAGATTGATCAGTCAAAACCTAAAAAAAAGTTCTTAGCCAAAATGTATGGCTTAACCTAGAACTACTTAGTAAGAGTTCTAGGTTATCACCATCCAAAAGTGAGGGTGGTTATGTGACCACAAGGTAAATAATAATTATGACATGACCTATCCCACTTGGGGGTGACCACACATGGAAAACAGATCTAATTTGACCTAATTCCCCCTACCTACTAGACACTGTAATAATAAAGAAACAACATAGAAAAAAGAGAGAAGGAGATGTCATTCACAAAATTGAAGTTCAAGTTGCAACTAAGGATATAAAAAGTCCAACAATTAGAATATTTTTACAAATGGAAATATTTCAAAGAAAGAAGCAGCTCTTTAGCTCATCGTTTTCTCAGTTCTCTACTCTCAGACCCTTCTGCTTGCAACTCAACCTCCTTTCCTACACCCTCTTCGGCGAGCTCCCCCATTTTCTCCTTGTCCTTCTCGGCCTTGTCAGTGGAAAATGGAGGCTCAAAGGAATCAAAGTCGAGCTTTAGGTACTTATCTTTCGGGTACTTCTCCTTGGCTTGATCTATAAATATATCTTACCCGTCTAAAAAGCTCTCAAAGATAGCTTTGTTGTATTCCCCATGCATGTTCTTAGTGCACAGATCGACCTCTGGGTTGGAACATCTCTTTGCCACCTTAGCTAACTTAAATTTTAAGAGGACAGACTCTTTTTCGATTTTGGATTTTTTGAACTTGGCCTCCTCAACAACAAGTATCGTCACATCTGATTTTGACATAGTCTCGGTCATCTTGGCTTGTTTCTTGGTCAACCTCTCCTTTAATGATTCTTCAGAATCCTTGAAGCCATTAACCTAGATGGTCAAATCTATAACCACAACCTTGGACATAGTTAGCTTGGTTGTCTTCTCGTCGCGATGCTTCTCTAATCTCTGAGTTTGCGTAATGAGAGCACTAATGTGGGTGGCAGCCTGTAAAGATTGGAGAAGAACACTTATAACAAATTTTGAAAAAGAAGAATAGAAGAAAGGAAAAAGACGATACTGCTGCAAGGCCATGGAGTGCATTCATGGCCTTATCACCATGACTAAGTTTGGATGACTCACGAAGATCAACCTTAGACAAGATGCCCATGACCTTTCGAGCAGCCATAGTAGTATTACAGAGCAAGCTCTACTCTTTGGCACGCAAAGCAAGGACACCTAATGATGAACCAACATACTTCTGAGCTGCCACAATGGTAACCTCAACCTCGGGAGCTTTTTCAAAAGTAACCCCAACCTCACTAGGAGGGGTTATCTTAAGAACCCCCTAACTCTCAATAGAAGAAACCTCTTCAAACCTGTCTTGAAGCATAAGAGGATCAGTTACTCCAGTGTTTTGGGGATCAAATAGGTCTGATGATTAGTCACCTTGGTTATTTTAGTTAGGCACCTTAGCCTCTTTGCAGGTATGGAGTCTACAACTGACCTAACCTACTTTTTCTTAGCCAAGGCTTTCTTTAGAGCATCCTTGTCAAGACCCATTGCCGGAGGATCTGCAAAGAAAAAAAGAATAAGTCTAGTTAAGGAAAATACTAAGAAAGCCAAGAAAGGCATGGAAGATAAAATTACTAACTAGATGTGGCTTTTATGATTGGGGCTTGAGATTGTATTTGGCTAGCTTCTAGCTTCTCAAGAGTGACCATCTTTATAATACCTCACGCTGCATTTCTCAACCTAGGCGACACTAAGCTGTCTAGATCTATTCAGGATCAAAATTGGCTCATGTCTTGTAACCACAACAAAAATCAGGCTAGGTCCAAGAAAACATATCATTTACCAAAAGTAGAGTAATAGCAAAACAAACTTGATCACATGTTTTGGGGCTTCTCAAAGTCGAGGAACTCAAAGGGGCTTGTTGACTTCCCTTTTAAATTCCCCAGCGTCCCTAAACACAAAGAAGAAATCCNGCTCACATGTTTTGGGGCTTCCCAAAGTCGAGGAACTCAAAGGAGCTTGTTGACTTCCCTTTTAAATTCCCCAGCGTCCCTAAACACAAAGAAGAAATCCTTTTTCCAACCCTTATGAAAGGAGGGAAGCTCAATGACTAGTTCTTCTGCTTTGGCCCTCTTAGCGAAATAGAAGAAACCCTTAGTAGAAGAGGACTTAAAGTGAAATAAATAAAGGAACTTGAAAATGGTGGGGGAAGACCTAATGCCACTCTGATGCTAAAAGATGAGGCGACCCATTAGTAGACCCCAGATATTGGGGGACACCCCAGAAAGGTATAAATTGAAGTGACAAAAGATGCCTCAGATGAACGGGTGCATTGGGAATCTCAAACTGACCTCGAAGGTAACCTTGAAAAAAGAAGACTTTCTTAGAGTAGTAGATGTTGCTATGTTTGTCCCGAGTAGGAGCATGGACAACCACACCACCATATTGTTCCTTGATGGTCTCAGCTCCGGCTTTGGAAACCTCACTACATACCAGGGTGGCATAACAAGTCAGCTCATCTAAGCAACGAACAAGCTTTTTGCCCTTTTTCAAAGGGCTAGCCCTAGATGAAGAAAGGTCACCACTTAGAGGTCTTCTCAGCCTCTTCTTGGTACCTTTCCTTGGAGCTTTTTTAGGAGTTAGCTCCTTAGGAACTACCTCTTCAGACGTTACATCCTCAAGTCGATAAGGAGCATCCTATTTAGGATTGACAACTATCAAGGGATTTATATCTCTCAAGATCTTCTCTTGCTCAAAATCATCATTTCTATGGGATGAGCTGACCTCAACCTGAGCAAAATCACCCCCAAAAATTATAGAAATAAAAGAGTGGGTGGAAGAAGAGGAAGATGAGACTACCCATGGGAGTAAGACAATAAAGTCTACAGAACAGTTTTGAGAGATTTGTAGAACAATCTTCAATTGCTCTAGGGTCGAGGCACCAATCTTGAATGAGGAAAATCCTTACCATAGATGAGGAATCAATGAGGTAGGAAAGAAACCCTAAGGACCTATTGCAACCCCTATATTAATAATACCTAAGGACTAGAAAGTGGAGTCCTTCAGACTACCAACAAGGATCAAATCAATCCAGACTAAAGGAGAATGGAAGGGGACGAACCTAAAGGGAGTTCTAACCGACCCTTGGAACCAATGAGGACACAACACGACAGGAAGACTGATGAAGAGCAAGGCACGACCCTCTAGTTTCCCTAAATCTCCCTCTCTCTATAACTTGGATGAAGATGGTGAAGGCAAAGTGAAGTGCTACAGTGAAGGACGTAGACTTTAAATAGGTTTTGGGATTTGGAGGCTTCTTTATCAGCATGTGCATTTAATGCATCTATGCATGTGGTCGAGTGCCATCGTGTGATAGGCATGTATTGAGAATTAAGGTGCCAAGTACGCACCATGCCTGCATGGCAGCATGGAAATAGGGAAACAGTTGTATCTTGTTTTTTGCAATTACATGCCTTTATAGGAACATAATTGGACAACCACAATCTTTATAGCTCGACCCCAACCAATGGACAACTCAAGATAGTCTATGCTCGGGGCTAGGTGGCAACCGATGATACCAAAAGATACCTTAAATAAGTTAGCAATAAGGATCTAAGCCTGGTTGACCTGACCTATAAGGATCTAAGTAAGTCAGCAAAGACACGAAACAACTCGACAATCTTTGGAAGAGAGTTAGAAGATGAGTCACATTATCAACCCTACCTTGAGCAAGAAGATACTAGTTCTGGAATGTCATGTCATCACTTTTCGAAGGCTACATCACGCTTCAGGGAAAGAGTCTCTAATAGCTAAATATTCCCTCAAATATTCAAATAGATGGTGAAGATCACACCATCAATGTTGTGAGGACCGCACCATCCTTGTTCATAAATATGCGAGCCATTGCCTTCCTAGAGCATGGGCAATCAAATACCTAATGTGTAACATTTTCCTTTTCTCAAGCAACACAAAATCAGAGAAGCAAGTGCATACATTACAACGGACTAGTCAAAATCTTCAGTTTGGTGAACCACTCATCTTCTTGTGTATTTTTTCTCTACTTCTCATACACAATTCACACACTTTATACAGAGCTCTTTCTACTCACTCTTTTATGTTTTTTATACTATAAAAAACTTATTAAGATATCCATATATGATATTTACTTGTTGATTTTGTATATAGTTGGGGACTGAATTAAGAATGATCGTATTGTGTTCGTTCTTATGTAAGTCTTGTAATTTCAAAATTTGTTTAATGAATTATGGTCAAATTTATGAAGTATTAACACTAAATTTCTAAATGATAATTCTTANTCTAGTTGGGGACTGAATTAAGAATGATCGTATTGTGTTCGTTCTTATGTAAGTCTTGTAATTTCAAAATTTGTTTAACGAATTATGGTCAAATTTATGAAGTATTAACACTAAATTTCTAAATGATAATTCTTATTCATTTTGCCCATGTAATATATTGTATTAAAAATTATTAATCTATGTGTAACGCCTATATTTTTTATCTTAAACAAAAAAAAAATTATTGGATTAGAAAAAAAAGGAAAAAGAAGAAGAAATGGGAGATGTGTGCCATCCAGGGCAAAAATTGCCAAACTTGAGGTCTAACGTTTGTAAAAAGGCATTTTTGAAAGAAACCCCATTTTGATTTTATTACATGGAGGGGAGAGGGAGAGAGAGAGAGAGAGAGAGAGANAGACCCCATTTTGATTTTATTACATGGAGGGGAGAGAGAGAGAGAGAGAGCGCATTTCGCTTGAATTTCTTAGTTCATTCTTCGCATAAAGTTCTGTTCACCATCATATATTCATATCCTCCACATTTTTCAAAAGTTCAAACTTTTGAATCTCCGGCCTTTTGCCGGAATCCATAAATTATACACACACACACACACACACACAAATATATCACTCGATCTCGTCCCATTGCAAATCAAAATCAAGGGTTTCCCTTTCTTTCTCTCTNCAAGATAGTCTATGCTCGGGGCTAGGTGGCAACCGATGATACCAAAAGATACCTTAAATAAGTTAGCAAAGACTATGCAAAGTTTGGCTGATCTGACTGAAGCCTGGTTGACCTGACCTATAAGGATCTAAGTAAGTCAGCAAAGACACGAAACAACTCGACAATCTTTGGAAGAGAGTTAGAAGATGNCACTAGAGCCTCGATTTCGAGTTTTACTCTCTTATCTGTGTTGTTTCGATCTGGTTTTGGTTTCGATCTATTCCTAATTCTTGTTCTCTCTCTTTGTTCGAGCCGTTGGTTTTAGATCAATGGAGGCGATCGAAGAATTGGCACAGCTTTCTGATTCTATGCGGCAAGCAGCAGCGTTGCTTGCCGACGAAGATATTGATGAAAATTCATCGGCGTCTTCTTCTAAGCGGCCTTCAACGTTTCTCAATGTTGTCGCTCTGGGCAATACTGTAAGTACAAGCACAAATCGATAGTGTCGGTTCAGATTTTCAGCTGTGTATTTGATCGTGCTTTGACCGTTTTATTTACTGATTAGATCTTTTGATCTAGTTTGNAAATTTTCAGCTGATTGTATTTGATCGTGCTTTGACCGTTTTATTTACTGATTAGATCTTTTGATCTAGTTNAGATTTTCAGCTGTGTATTTGATCGTGCTTTGACCGTTTTATTTACTGATTAGATCTTTTGATCTAGTTTGTATGGATCTTGAATACGATTTCAAATTATGCACGTGAGAGAGTGTAATCAGAATTGTGAATACGCTCAAGAGTACTGGTAAATTAGAGGTTGAGAATATTCACTGGATTAGATGATTCTCTGAATATGTGGAGTAATGTATTGATTCTTAATAGTGGCTTTGATTATGTCTATTAAAACTGTAGTGGCTTTGATTATGTCAAACTATAGTGGCTTTGATCTGATAAGTTATCATGTTAAAGGGGAAATGTGTCTCCCTAGTGTGGGCATCCCTAAGGGCCAATTTGAAGCATCCATGTCAAGTTGCCAACGCCACACCTATAGGTGTATCTTGACAATGCTTGACATATAAATGAAGCAATTGAGGACCTTGTTGTGAATTAGACTTAGGAGAGGTGAAACCTCGTGGTAATGTTGCTTAATTGTTAGAAGCAGTCAGTGGAGCTGGATTAGAAGTCGAAGATTGGGCTGGCAGTATGAAAGTACACCCTTGTAGAAGACAGTTTTGGAGTGTGTGGGAACTGGGGAGTCAAAACCACAAACAGATTAGAATACAGTCTTACTACATGATTTGGCTCAATTCTACCTGGAAAATCCTCTTGTTTTATAGAGGAAGTATTTGCAAATTTTTGTATTTGTAAAATATTCAGATTGGACAAAAGTTACTGCTGTCTTAAGTTGAAATGTCTCACAGCTGTACCCTAGGAAATAGTAAAAATTAAGACAGGTCATCATTTATAAGGGATGTCTGAATGAGTAATTGGTGGATGGAAAGGAAATTGGAATTCTCAGATATATCTATTGCTTAATGTGAAAATTTGTTGAGATGTTCGGTGATGCTTTTCAAGGGCATACATCCTGATGAAATTTTGCTAAGCATGGTGTTAATAAAACCTCTCTTTTCAGGGAATAAGGAACCATACTATTGCCTTCTTCACCATACCCATACAACTTATAATATCATTCACACCTTGATGAGGCCACCATTGTGTTTATGTTACCACAATTACTACCACCACCAACATTGCATTGCTTCTGTCATTGAAACAATTGATGGGTTTTGCTAGCGCTAGATGGGTTATGGGCCAAGAACCTCCCTACCCACTACCAAAAGAGAAAGAAATGGTTTACATCTATAACTATATCATATTTTGTGCTCAATCATAATTTTGAATCCCTTATTATTATTGACACTTTTAATATTTTGTTTTCATCGGTACTACCTTACGGTATTTTAGTGTAAAATTGACTCTTGACCTTGGGGCCGAGGAAAAATTCATTGCACATTGGTGATTGTGACCACAATTACTGTTACTAACCCATGGCTCATGGTTGTGTTTTGACCAAAGCTACTTTACCATTTACCACCACCACCACTACTGTAACACACCAGGACAGTGGCATCACTTATATCAACATCAACCTTCTAGTGCCATTGTTATCAGCGATAACAACATCAACGTTCTTTTTTTGTGATAAGAAACATTGGTTTCATTAATCATAAAAGGTAAAAGTACAAAGAGCATGTCAAATTTGGACAAGACAACCAAAACATTAGCATTCTTGATGCCACCAATATTACAGTTATCATCGCCATTGCCCTGTACCAATGTTACAAACTTCACCAGTTTATTGGAATTTNCGGTAGGAAGCCTTGATAGTGGTTGTGGAGCCGGAGCATTAATCAACATTTGAAGTAATTCTGAATTGAGATATCGGTGCAAGTTTTTGTGAGAAAATGGTACTTGGTAATAGGTAGAACATGACTGCCTCTTTGTAAATTGAAGTGAAAGATTGGGATGAAGCGGGTAACTAGTGGGTCATTATTGTGTGGTATCTGCTACAATAATATATCCTCTTGGTATCGTCCTTCTTAAATTTGTTGTTGTCCGCACATATTTTGTGATCTTTATTTTTTATTAACTCAAAATTAGTGACTTGTCTGCGTACATTGTTGTTATTGTGCATGATTGCCTCTTTTTGGCAGGCAGCCTGATTGAAGANCAGTAGGAAGCCTTGATAGTGGTTGTGGAGCCGGAGCATTAATCAACGTTTGAAGTAATTCTGAATTGAGATATCGGTGCAAGTTTTTGTGAGAAAATGGTACTTGGTAATAGGTAGAACATGACTGCCTCTTTGTAAATTGAAGTGAAAGATTGGGATGAAGCGGGTAACTAGTGGGTCATTATTGTGTGGTATCTGCTACAATAATATATCCTCTTGGTATCGTCCTTCTTAAATTTGTTGTTGTCCGCACATATTTTGTGATCTTTATTTTTTATTAACTCAAAATTAGTGACTTGTCTGCGTACATTGTTGTTATTGTGCATGATTGCCTCTTTTTGGCAGGCAGCCTGATTGAAGAGTGCCACTAATGCTATATTTCTTTCTTGCTTTTGGGGACTTTCTAAAAGTAGGTTCCTGCAGTCCTCAAACAAATTTTAGAAGAATTTATGTCATAATTGTATCAAGTATGGGGAAGGTTTTTTTTTTGGTTAAATTTAGAATAATGCACCTGCATGAATTACTAATTTTTTGTTCCATATTTAATTGTTATTTTTTGGGGCTGGGGTGTTGTACAACACTACAGCTTGAATGATAGGGCAGAGCTTTTTGTAAAATTTGAGGTTTATCTTTGGGCCTTTTTTTTCAAAAAAAAGTATTTAGTGACTTGCTGCTTCTGTTTATTGAATGGACAAATTGGTCAGGGCGCGGGTAAATCAGCGGTGTTGAACAGTCTAATAGGACATCCTGCTTTGGTAAGTGTTTTACAGTCTGAGCTTTTGCATTCTCGTTCACCTTTAGTGTTTGTATAATATCTTCCTATTAATAAGACGATGTTATCCTGTCACTATTCGTGTATCTTTTTTGGAATTGAATAATGGGTATGCCTGTAAAATATTCTTAATTTATATTGTTTTGATATTTGGACAGCCAACTGGTGAAGGTGGTGCCACTCGTGCTCCTATATGCATTGATCTAAAACGGGATAGTTCTTTAAGCAGCAAATCAATTATTTTGCAGATTGACAGTAAATCACAACCGGTGTCTGCAAGTGAGGCCTCTTCCTTAACCGGATATGTCTAATTATAAAGTGGACTTTCGTATGGAGTGATTTGTCTTCTAATGACTGCTTAAATCTGTGTCTGATGACTTTGATTGTCGTTGCTTTTTGTTGGCCCTTCATAGGTGCTCTTCGGCATTCTTTACAGGATAGGCTAAGCAAAATTTCAAGCAAGAGTCGTGATGAAATATATTTGAAGCTTCGAACAAGTACAGGTTAGTTTGAATAAAAGCGTCCTGTTTTCTTTTTGAGTGAAAAAGCTATGACTATCTTTTGTGTGTCTTTAGCTTCATCCTTTCCCATCTTTTCTTTCTGTCTTGGAGTAGTTTCCAAGTAAATGCAGAAAAAATAGCCCAGGTTTGATCTAATCACTGCAATAACAGTTCTGCCTTCCATATTTTGGTGTGCTTTGCAGTGTTTCTATTTTGTAGAGATGTTTTGTAATGCTGATGATTTGTAAAGGGATTTTATAAATGTTCATTGTTATCGAAATGTAATCTTTGATTCTTTGCAGCTGAAATTATTGAAAATGAAGGAGTCCTATAGCAAAAGGGACCATAGAACACTGAAGCATCACAATTCGCATTGGAAATTCAAAATCATGGCATGACACTTATGGATGAAAAGTTTTAAGTCTCAAAGTGGAAGTTTAAAGCCTTAGCACAATATATAGGTGGATATATCTTCAAATTACAAGGCTGTTTACAATTCTTATTTACAAGTTGGATGACACATATGGCAGCCTCATGTGGGGCCAAAGCACTCATCACATGCCCATTTTTTTCCTAATTTAAGAGAAAGATGAATCCAATGGCAGTTGGGAGTAGGTGATGCAAATATACATAATGGAGTAGGCTTTCTCCTTTCAGAAGGAAAAGCAATGGAGCATCAGGAAATTGTAATTAAAAATCAAAATGGTGTTCTTATCAAACAAAGGAAAACAAAAAGAAGAAAGAAAGCCGAAATTAGAATTGGTGCACATCAGAGCTGTTGCTTTTAGACTCCTTGGATTTGTCCATTTTTGAAATGAAGACTGGATTTGGCCCCTGGTTCTATAACAATGACTAATAAGTGGAATTAACCGTCACCCTATTATTATCTCACCATGTAATTGAAATTTTATAATATGATATCCCCAACCCCCCAAATGTTTAATGTTTGATGCCAAACTCCTAAAATTGTCAAGGTACTTTTATCTGGGTCACTTTCTAAGTAATGATATATTTATATGAACATAGTTAAATAATATTAATTTTTTTTTCCTGATAATAAAAAAAATGTGATTTGGATTGCGAACACAGCTCTTTTTGGGTTGTGTGACCCGATTCGTGGGACACTATGGGTATCTAAGATCCAGGTATCTATGGTGAAGATCACTGTAATGACATATGGGATACTTTTTTTTGGCATGGCTTACATAATAGTTATGTTTGACTCTAGTTTTTTGGGCATGGGTTACATAATAATTTGACTCCCGTGTGAAGGGAAATTAAAGCTACAACAGCATGATCAATTGATTCTGTTTGTAAATGAACCATATGCATATATCAATAGTGATGTTTAGCATTACTTGTAAGATATCATGTGGAATGGAATGGTGTGAACGATGATGTAGTAGGGATCCGTGACCTCCTTTTTGTAGCATTTTTAGCAATAATTTTTAAGATTTGCTGAGTCTCGTNCCGTGTGAAGGGAAATTAAAGCTACAACAGCATGATCATTTGATTCTGTTTGTAAATGAACCATATGCATATATTAATAGTGATGTTTAGCATTACTTGTAAGATATCATGTGGAATGGAATGGTGTGAACGATGATGTAGTAGGGATCCATGACCTCCTTTTTGTAGCATTTTTAGCAATAATTTTTAAGATTTGCTGAGTCTCGTAGTGACTGCTTTTTTATGTCTTTATTTGTTGTTATTATAACCATAAATTAAAAATGGGTCTAAAAAGGGTAAACCGAGGATTAGATAGTGCCAACTTTGAGTAGTACTTTGAAGCACCACGTATCGTGGTGACTTAATGATGTTGGTGGGGTTATTTGAAGTCATCCAATCAAATTACATAAAAGCAAAAGTATGGTAATGAACTAGGATGCTTTTAAAGTTTATATGAAAATGCATGGGTGGGTACACATAAAATAGTAACAATCACCATGTTGGTTGCTTATATATTCAGGGTATTGTCAAAAAACACATGAGGTTTTATATCGTCTCCCATGAGTTTTCGTCTTTGTTGAAATTACCCCGTCAGGTCAAAATAGGTTGTCATCAATACCCTTTGTCCATCACCATCACTACTACCATCATCACCACCTTACCCACCATCTGCTACCAATTTTTAACACCACAGTGCTGCCTCCTTTGATATTGCCATGCCTTTACCAATAGCATCAACCCCACTATTGGTTGTAAGCATTAGGGAGTCATTAAAGCACCGTCACCTGAGAAATGACATAATCAACTCTTAAAGTTACATTCATGGTTTACTGCCATTTTATTTTCTTGATATGAAAAGATGTATTGGACTTCAAATGTTATGTGCTCCTGCTGCTTTGACGATTTGTCTGTTATTCTGTGTTCAACACTGCAACTCATAATTTTCAATTCATTTTTTTCCCTTTCTCCTCCTGAAAACAGCTCCTCCTGTGAAATTGATCGATTTGCCTGGAGTAGATAAAGGAAATCTTGATGATTCATTGGTGAGTGCTGGTAAACAAAATATCGTTAGTTTCAGATGGTACTTTTTACAAATGATGTATAATTTATGTTCTTGTTAGATTGATACTCTTTTACATTTTTAGTTTTTGTAGTTCTATTCATGGAAGGAAATTAATAGCCCAATATTTTTTACAGAGTGAATATGTTGAGCACAATGATGCGATATTGCTAGTTATAATACCTGCTGCCCTGGCACCAGAAATTTCCTCATATAAAGCCCTTAGAATCGCGAAGGAATATGATGGAGAATGTGGGTTTACCATAAATCTTTTTGTGCTTACAAAGACAACTTTTGTACTGTTTTTCATTTAAAAATTCTAAAATTGTTCCCTCTATGCATGCTTTTGCATTTAGGTACGAGAACCATCGGCATTATTAGTAAAATAGACCAAGCAGCTTCAGATCCAAAAGTTCTTGCAGCTGTTCAGGCTCTTCTGTTGAATCAAGGACCACGTAGTACATCTGATATCCCTTGGGTTGCTTTGATTGGTCAATCTGTTTCGATAGCTTCTGCACAGTCAGGAAATGTTGGATCTGATAACTCTCTAGAAACTGCTTGGAGGGCTGAGAGTGAAAGTCTAAAATCCATACTAACAGGGGCCCCTCAAGGCAAGCTTGGAAGATTAGCTCTGGTAGAGACCCTCGCTCATCAGATTCGTAACCGTATGAAAGTCAGGCTTCCAAATCTCCTTTCAGGGTATAATCTCTTTCCCATTTCCTGTTTGACCTTTGGTTTTCATTTGTTATTTAATTTCGGATGACTTCTGTTCAATCTCCATTTTATATGTAGTTCTCAGATTTTGTTTGGTTATATAGCTTGTACGTTTTGTATAGTCAAGCAAATGACGTATACCAAAAACCCTAGTATGGACCAATGCAAATTTCTGAAGTAAATCACCTAGGCTGGCCAATTGCTAGCATGCCTTCTAAAGTATTTCAAATATATTTTCTCCTCTCTTTTAATTTTCTCTTTGGTTTTTTTAGGGCATGGGGGAAGGGGTTTTCTGGAATGTCAACACTGTAACCATTGTAAAGATGCCTCCTTAGCATCCTCCACCAGCAAAATTCTTCATTTATCTTATGCAACAGCCTGGATAAAGAATATACTAATGTAGTTACTTATTTGAATGCATTGCTGTATTATACAACTTCATTGTTCATGCATCGTTTGTTTCTATAAAGTTTGGGGGCTAGATATCCTTATTCCCTAAGAAAGTTTTGTGACCAATGCATAGAGTTTTGATAAAACTCATAAGGATGCACGTAGTTGGTATTTTATGCTTGTTTTTTTCAAGTACCTGAACCGAGACCTTGATTTCTCTTCTTATGTAACTCCGCAGGCTACAGGGTAAGTCTCAATTAGTACAGGATGAATTAGTAAGGCTTGGTGAATCAATGGTTCATAGTGCTGAAGGTTCAAAAGCTCTGGCTTTGGAGCTTTGCCGTGAATTTGAGGATAGATTTCTCCAACATATTACAAGTGGTGAGGTAAGAATTTAGAAACAAAAAGCACAGGTATATGAAGTGCACAGATTCCATAGTTTTGTATGACAAAAAAGGGATCTTTGCTATGCAGACATCTGATAGCACCTTGTTTTGGTGATTAATTTGCTACACAGTGTCTTAACAGAAGATCTTTTTAAACAGAGTGCTGTATGTGTATCACAAGAGTTGAGCAGAACTAATGAACTGTATATGTATTTAAGTTGTGACCAATGTATAAGAGAATGCAAAGTTTATGGTAAGGTCTGATACTTCTGAGTGTTTTCATGTTATTCCTTAGAGACAACACACAATATTCCATTTGCAGCGTGAAGAAAGCATTCTATTATTACATGTTGAATATTTGAAGTTTAATCTTTCCCATGAGGATAGAGTTAATGAGCTGAAACTTTTCATGTCTACTTGCTGGCATTAGTGCTTTTGTATTTTATGGTTTTATACTTGATACATGAGACCAAATTGGATTTTTGAAAGTGATTTAGGACCGCACTAAGAAACTCAAAATTGTGTGCCCTACAATTTCTTTGTGATGGGTTTTAGTAACGGAAATTTTCTTGGTTCTGTTAGCAGAGGTAATACATCATGCCATCTGAGGAACATTATCTGAATTTCTCTGTTTTAGTCGGCACTGAGCCCTCCCTCTCCAGTAGTCTACCTTCTTAGGTTGTGAATATTTTCTATTCTGCTGGCGCAGAGCATAACTGTTTGGTGTTCTGCTGCTGATGGAAGAAATGATATTAGAAGACAGCTTATTTGTTTAACTTGAAAGACACATTTTCTTGTTTTTCTAGGACAACTGTGTTTGAGTTCATAGATGAGTGTCTTTTTATTTTCAAACGATTTTGTTTCTAATATTTGGAGCTATGTGCTTTATCAGCAATATGGTGTGACAGAGTGATATTAGAGCTAGGTTTCTATCCTGGGGGCATTCGTCATTCATCTACTGGGAATATTTTTTCATAATATTTCATTTCTGTATGTGGTTCGAGTTAAAATCCAATAACATGGTTGTTTTGTCTGCCAGTTGTTTATCACATTGTAGTTGGCATCATTCATGATAGTTGAAGCATTTTTCNATATTTCATTTCTGTATGTGGTTCGAGTTAAAATCCAATAACATGGTTGTTTTGTCGGCCAGTTGTTTATCACATTGTAGTTGGCATCATTCATGATAGTTGAAGCATTTTTCCTGTTCATTTTTATTTTGTTTTTTTAGGGAGAGGAGTTGACAATGGCAAGGGTTTGTTGCATTTATGGGCATTGGTGATTGTTTATATTCAGTATGCTGTGACAAAAGAATTCAACTCCATTCTTCTGCTTGTTTTTAACTTATGATTTAATATTATTGTAGGGTGGCGGTTGGAAAGTTGTTGCGAGCTTTGAGGGCAACTTCCCTAACAGGATCAAACAGTTGCCATTAGACAGACATTTTGACATAAACAATGTCAAGAGGGTATGTCTTTCAATCGTATTTTTTTGCATTTTTTCAGTGTTCTTTTTGAGTTCCTATTTACTTTTTATAATGTTGATCCATTCAAGTTGGTAACAGATAGTGCTAGAAGCAGATGGTTATCAGCCCTACCTTATATCTCCAGAGAAAGGTTTACGGTCTTTAATAAAGAGTGTTTTAGAGCAGGCGAAAGAACCTTCACGTCTTTGTGTTGATGAGGTAAATCGATGTTGGGTTTTAGTTCATCTCTGCCAACATTTAAGTTTCCATTCCTTTGTTCCAAGTTTGCGTTCCATACACTTTCTTTTGGCACAGTGGAAGCCTACCCACTTGATGCTGTGGATTTACTGAAATTAAATGAACAACACAAGGACACACATGAAGCTTTTGANTCAATCGTATTTTTTTGCATTTTTTCAGTGTTCTTTTTGAGTTCCTATTTACTTTTTATAATGTTGACCCATTCAAGTTGGTAACAGATAGTGCTAGAAGCAGATGGTTATCAGCCCTACCTTATATCTCCAGAGAAAGGTTTACGGTCTTTAATAAAGAGTGTTTTAGAGCAGGCGAAAGAACCTTCACGTCTTTGTGTTGATGAGGTAAATCGATGTTGGGTTTTAGTTCATCTCTGCCAACATTTAAGTTTCCATTCCTTTGTTCCAAGTTTGCGTTCCATACACTTTCTTTTGGCACAGTGGAAGCCTACCCACTTGATGCTGTGGATTTACTGAAATTAAATGAACAACACAAGGACACACATGAAGCTTTTGATGTTAGAACCCATATATTTGTTACTTCTATCATTTCCGCTTGTTTTTTGACTTCTTTTTGATAGAAAAAGAAAGTCTTGTTTAAAATTTAAACAAAGTTATCAATACAATCAGCTTTGTTTTTTCTTTCTTATTGTGGTGGTCTGTAAGCAGAAAATTAAAAAGGTCCCAGGAGAACTAGAAAGATGGTAGAGAAAAGAAAAATGATACTACAATTACTTGGCGCATAGCATTGATGATTCCTTTTTGGGATGCTGCGAAATAGGGACTAACTGGTTTCATGGACACTTTAAAATCTTCGCGGATGGAGTTAATTCATGCTTAGGCCATATTTCTCAGTAAAATTCGTAACTGAAATTGTCAATGGTGTTTGGAAAATGTAGAATCCAAAGGCCATTGCCATTGGTTGGAGAGGATCCTAAGGCTCATATACCTATCTTTGAGATTATTCACCATTGACGTGGGACAAGACCCAAGTCCCCAAAACCCTCTCTTGTATGCAGCCCCATGCCACATGACAATTGTATCTGATAAAGACAAGCATCTTGAATTCTCAGAGATGCTAGTCTGCTGACCTCAGGCTACATGTTTTGTTTTCATTATTGATATTTCTACATGTAGGGTATGAAATTCTATTATTCTTTTTTCTATATATTTGTTATTCTTCTACTTAGTCTGTTTAAATGAAACTACTGAAACAGGTGCACCGTGTACTTGTGGACATAGTTTCAGCAGCTGCTAATGCTACACCAGGGCTTGGAAGATACCCTCCTTTCAAGAGAGAGGTAGCTATGTCTTGCTGCTGTACATTGTCATAATTTCTATATGTAGATGTATACCTCTTTTTTGCTTTGCATGCCTTTTTTTAGGCAATATTCAGTAATGGTTATATGATTAAAATAGGTTGTGGCAATTGCGACTACTGCACTGGATGGATTTAAAAGTGAAGCTAAGAACATGGTAGTTGCACTGGTTGACATGGAGCGTGCATTTGTTCCTCCACAACACTTCATTCGTTTGGTGCAGAGGCGGTATGTTCATTATTTGGACATAAAATAGTTACTGAATTTTTGGTTTCTCTTGGTTTTGGCATGGTTACAAAATTCTGTTTTTTTATTGCTCTCCTTTCAATACAAAAGCAAGTTATTTTGTGTGATAGTGACCAGGAAGGCTTGGTCACTGTCCTCTCCCCATGGGTCCATTGCTTTGACTTGGTTAATAAGGATAAGGAATAAAAAACCTTAGATTCATTGTATTGGTATTACTGATATGATATTGTGATGAGAAATGGGCCAACATTGTAGTGCAACTGTGTATTGTGGTGTTTTCCTGAAGATTATTTGTTCACTGTTCAATAGTCTTTTCATCTGCCATTTTGTTTGTCCGATGCTTCTATACCTGATTTTATGTCCAGGATAAATTCCCCTGTTTGATATTTTTGATCCATCGCTTTTTTTTTTTTAGAAAAAAAAAATCGATGTCTCTGTTTAATTGCGTTTTGACAGGATGGATAGGCAGCGGCGTGAAGAAGAGCTGAAAAACCGACCTTCTAAAAAGACGCCTGAGACAGAGCAACCTGTATTAAATAGGGTACATAAAGTTTTTTCTTAATGTTGAATTCATTAGATGCCTGAGTTTNGATAAATTCCCCTGTTTGATATTTTTGATCCATCGCTTTTTTTTTTTTAGAAAAAAAAAACTGATGTCTCTGTTTAATTGCGTTTTGACAGGATGGATAGGCAGCGGCGTGAAGAAGANTCGTAACTGAAATTGTCAATGGTGTTTGGAAAATGTAGAATCCAAAGGCCATTGCCATTGGTTGGAGAGGATCCTAAGGCTCATATACCTATCTTTGAGATTATTCANGAGCTGAAAAACCGACCTTCTAAAAAGACGCCTGAGACAGAGCAACCTGTATTAAATAGGGTACATAAAGTTTTTTCTTAATGTTGAATTCATTAGATGCCTGAGTTTTATGTATTTAATTATCATGATGTGCATAGGAGTTTCCTTAAATCTTTTTCTATTTTATATTTTCCTGAACAGATTGTTTTTGAACTAGTAAGATTTTCTGATTTTTTGTGGTCAGGAAACCAGTCCNAATTTCCTTAAATCTTTTCTATTTTATATTTTCCTGAATAGATTGTTTTTGAACTAGTAAGATTTTCTGATTTTTTGTGGTCAGGAAACCAGTCCTCAAACAGCAGGCCAACAAACTGGGGGGAGCTTGAAATCGATCAAGGATAAATCCGATCAGCAAGACAAGGATGTACAAGAAGGACCAGCCTTGAAGACTGCCGGGCCTGAGGGGGAGATAACAGCAGGTTCCTGTAGAGACAGTTTCCTCATTATTTTTTTAAATTCTTGTCAGTGAGGGTTTTTGTTTTCCTTGATATTAATAGTTGCATGACATCTGACTTGAGGATTCTGTGACTTTTGTGTTGACTATATCATTTTACTTGCTACTGAAATGTTATACAGTGTGTTATTGAGAGGTCACTGTTTATGTGATTGGATGATGTAAGTTTTAAATTTGACCAATGGTTCTAGTAAGTATCATCAGATCTTGCAAGAGTGCAATTGACAAGAGGTGTAATTGTTTGAGATCAATAAGGACTCAAGATTCTTTATATCATGATATGTTAGTGTTTGATGGTAACTAGGTTTTAGAATGACACCTGTTTTGGGTACGGAGGATATTGAGTTTGGTTCTCATGCATGAGATTAGGTTTATTTTTTGCTTTTAGTGAATTGTTTTATGAACCCAGATAGAAATGTATAGACTTAGGCAGACTAGGTTGATTGAGATCCTGCCAATGTGGGCTTTCTTTGCTTCTTTGTTAAATTTTCACAATAAAGCATATTAGGAAGTGGTTGAAGTTATAAATCATGTTTTCCTCCAGTTAAGAGGTATTCATACAGTATCATTAAATTGTTTTGACTTCTCTCTAAAATTTTGGAATCCTGCCAAAGAGTGGAATTTTGTTAAAGGATATAGGTGAATTTTCATTTCAGGAATCTATGTTCACAGTTAGTTGCTGCTTGTTATTTAATCTTCTCGCCTATATAGTACCAGCATCTTGAGCCCAGTGCTGTAATATAGGTATGCTGTTACAAGAAAAACCACAGAAAAATGGAAGGATGGAGTCCTTCCAAGTGAAACACTTGGCCTGTCCAAAAAGTTTCACGTGGTAGTCATTCCTGGAACATATACCAGAAGATAGAATTGAATGGACTTGCTACTTTGATTCTGCTGTTTGCTTAGAGTGCTAATTTTCAGTTGTCATTGATTGGTGTTCTTTATCTGCAGGATTCTTATTGAAGAAAAGTGCAAAAACTAATGGTTGGAGCAGGAGATGGTTTGTTTTGAATGAGAAAACTGGAAAGGTTTATAGTGTAGTTTTTTAACCTCCCTCAATTGAGATTAAAGATACGTCAACTTACTCATAATCCCTATTTTGGTTTGATTTAATTGGATATAGGTTGCTGCATGAATGCTTAATTTTTTTCTTGTTCCCTTATTTGTAATTGTTAGATTTTCCACTCTTTCATATCATAGATGAACATGCTAGTTATCCACTTTGGATGCTGGTGCACACCTCTTCTTTAAACATGACATGCATGTTTGAAACAACAAAAGAAGCTATTTTTTTTAACAAATTTGTTTGCACGCCTTCGTCAATTGTCGTTCATCTTTTCAATCGTCTATGGAGTTGCCTTCTTTAGTTTTGTTCATATAAATGTGACAAGTTTTCATACAAATGTCTTCTTGCAGCTTGGATACACCAAAAAACAAGAAGAGCGTCATTTCCGTGGTGTCATCACTTTGGAGGTATGAAGTGCCAGATCTTTTTAATCACGTGTCAGCATTTGATAGTGTATTTATTCATGTGAAAAGCAAATTCGAGGGTGCACTTTTGTGTATATGCTCATGATATCTCTGACTGAGCTCTCCAAACAAGTGTTCAAATCTTTGGAATTGTGTTCTGCTTTGAGCTAGACAGTTTTTTTGTCTTTTTGGTTTACAAATTTAGTTCAAAGTCTTTTAGCCAGGTTAATTTAGATGTTTACTAGAAACATTTAATAGTGTAATTTCTACATTTTGTGACTAATGTGAATTTTGTTCATAGTATCCCATTTAACTTGCTCCGTGAGCGTATTGAGCGCTACTGACAGTACCCAAGGTCTTTAGATGCATCCATGTACCTTTTTCTTGTAGAAAATTGCATTAATGGTCACATCATGACATTGATTAGACTTCTGTTATTGATGCAGCCAATGAGTTTGACAAATGCTCTTCTAAACAGAGTTGAAGGAATTTAAAGTATTTGCATCAACACTTGTTACAAAGTGTGATCATGAATCTGGTAGATTACAAATTGCATCAGAGCTAGTTTGCTTAACTTCATGTCAAAGATTAAGAAGTCTAATGAGTAAAGATGCAACTATCTCTTATTTCTTGCTCGTACATTACCTGTGAATTCCCTAGAGATTTACCTCAGGAATAAGGACATTAAGCTGCCACGAAGTGTGATCATGAATATGGTATTCTGTGGACTGTTCTATTGAAGGGCAGGTTCACAGTAGGAAAGTTAGGCTCTCTCTCTCTCTCGGATTTCTTTACTCTCTTCCTCACTATTCGAATAGCTGCAAATAATAATATCAATAATAATAATAATATTGAAGAAGAATAAGAAAATAATATCTGACCTGGTACTTATAAAAAACAGCGAGACCTGGTGGAATTTTCTGGATTTTTACTCTATTTTATTGAAATTTTTTGTATGTTTCTATTTTGTTTCTAATTAGATGTGTCTAGATGATTCCTGCCTTTAGCTGATTCTTAAACCAATAGAAAATGAGAGAATCTGGACTGAATGGGTTGCGTGTATGTGGCAAAGACCGATCAGCAAGGAAAATCTGATCTAAGTTTCATTAGAAAATGTGAAATTGAACGTGGGTTGAGGTAGTGGGGATGGACCTGGTAAGTTTGAGTTAACTGATGATATAATTCTAGACAGTGCAATTGCAAAGTAAGTCATTTTGCTCACCCCAAAATATTCCAGTGTGAATTTTTTGAGTTTAGCTGGGGTATTTTGATCATCAGATGAGCTTGAATTGCAGTTAGTCATTTTATTTTCTTATTGTTGTTTTCTGGATGAGTTACGTCTTAAGTCACTATATGAGATATTTGGAGGGCCAACTAAAGCACTAATCTAGATAATAAACCCCTTTTAGCAAGGCTTATTTTGGTTGTGTTTGCTGATATCTTAACATTTTCTTGCAGTTGAATGAGGCTTGTTTCATGATAGACAAATGTTCAACTCTATGTTGCTTGTACTCATTTTTAAGCCTGTAAGGAGATGTACACATCTTAATTATCCCAATTTGACAGATTTATATATAATGTGGTTTGAATACTCGGTATTTGAAACCATATCTAGATTCCAAATTATAAGTTTGCTTGGTTGTATGTATGCGGTAGCTTATAATGTAATGAATAATAAAAAACTGGATACAGATGCACTGTGACGTTTTCAGTGCTCACTCCAAAGTGTCCTTTTGTTCGAATGCAATATGTACATGAGTGTTTGGGTATGAAGATCCTGAACTAAATGGGGAGCAACATCATAAGATATAGACAGAGCAAGGGGCAAATTACTAACAAGACCAAAAAATTGTGAACACTGTATTTAACAGTTCTGTAAATATGATTTCTGTCTCATTTTGACCAATTAGGGGTTCCTCAACTGTTGGCTAAGAGATGTTTTTACTCCTGGGTTTCATATTTTTTCTTCCTGCACAGATTTTGGAAATGCATCTGAAAGAATAAACTTGCACTTGCCGTCTCTGATCCAAATATGTTGTTGGGTCCTAAACTTTTTTATATGGAATAGTTTAACTTCAGTTGCGTGCCTATCAATGAACGCATTTTTCTACATGTGGATGCATTGTTCAGGAATGTAATATTGAGGAAGTTTCTGATGAAGAGGAACCACCATCAAAAACTTCCAAGGATAAAAATTCCAAGGATAAGAAGGCAAATGGGCCAGATACAGGGAAATCACCCAGTCATGTATTCAAGCTCACGAGCAGGGTTCCATATAAGACTGTTCTTAAAGGTAAGTTATTCATCTCTAGTTTGAAGTATTGTATTCATGTGGATTTTGTGTAGTTCCATTTCTCCTGTCAAATTGAGGGCCAGTGCTTACTGAAATTTTAATTGACCTTGCAGCTCATAGTGCTGTTGTGTTGAAGGCTGAGAGTACAGCAGATAAGATGGAATGGTTTAACAAGTTGAGAAATGTTATCGGTTCTAAAGGAGGTCAAGTAAAGGGTGAATCGGGCCTTCCCATTCGACAAAGTCTGTCTGATGGTTCTCTGGTGAGTCACTCCATGATGCTTCTTGTTTCCATGTGCACAATTTCATAGCACAGCTCATTTCTGCAACTTCCTTATTTCTTCAAAAGATGTGAGTTTCTTCCTGAGTTTGGATTCAAATGGTTTTCCTTAGATTTCAGGTTGTGATTTTTTTAAGACATCCCTTCTGTAACATCAAATATTAAGTGTTGGGCACTGAGGTGGAGTCCAAACTTAAATTCAATTAGATTGTGGTTGTTGTTGATGTTCCTGATAGTATTCATTTCCCTGAGGTATTTGTTAACCTAGTCTGAGTTGTGGGCTTACTTGGACAATTTAGGATACAATGGCACGTAGACCTGCTGATCCAGAAGAAGAACTAAGGTGGATGGCTCAAGAAGTACGTGGTTATGTTGAAGCTGTTCTAAACAGCCTTGCTGCCAATGTCCCAAAAGTCGGGTTTTCCCCTCCAACTCACTCTCAGTCCCCCAGTTTTTGTTTTAATTTTAGTTTTTTCACACCTTTACTCCTTGTTCTGGTTGCACAGGCTGTTGTTCTTTGCCAAGTAGAAAAAGCTAAAGAAGACATGCTTAATAAGTTATACATTTCTGTCAGGTTCGAAGCATCTTTTGTTTCCTTGTAGTTGTATAAATGCCCATGTCTTTGATTAGTGATTGCATGTTTGTCTAATATTATCTGCCATTTCCTGATATGTTTTTGAGAGAAATGTGTTGGAAATTATGTTCTTGATTTAGTTATTATACCCATGATTTTGTATGTGGAACTTGTAAAACAGGAGAAAAAAATCGTGACACATAAACTTATTATCTATGACCTTATTTGCATCTAAATGACCCCTGCTTGTGCATTCCAAGGGAACCTTAGTATCTATTAGACAGTTTTTCTTTTATCTTTCTTTCTTTATCTCTTTCTTCCTTCTAAAATATTGTGAAGACCGTAGCCTTACTTATCGCGCACCAATTGGCAGTGCCCAAAGTACAGCAAGGATTGAAGAGCTGCTCCTGGAGGACCAGAATGTTAAGGGCAGGAGAGAGCGTTATCAAAAACAATCCTCTCTTCTTTCAAAGCTTACTAGGCAACTCAGTATTCATGATAATCGAGCAGCTGCAGCGTCAAGCTTGTCGAATGGTCCAGGAGCAGGTAATGATTGCTAGAGTTTCACCCTTTTTTTCTTCTAGTTTTGTGCCCCAGCATAAATGCCCAAATAATTGCAACATAGGAATGGAAAGTAGGAAACATGTTAACCTGAAGTTATTCATTTCAAAAAGTTGGCATATCAATCATTCTGTGTGTATGTCTTGCGGCATTTATTAAGAAGTAATTTTCTTAAATATTGTCAAAATTTAGTTTTTTAACCAGTCCTACCTTCCCAACCCTTGATTAACAGGGACGAATCAGAGTACTGACTATTTTGCTTTCTAGTGTTTTGAGTGCCTTAGGAGATTTTGAGGAAAACAAAGATATTTTAGGAGGGAACTGGAAGGATGCAGTTAGCTACCAGGGGTGGCACAGTGGGCACCATCTTTCAGACCAAATTCCCCGTATTAACAGATGGCCCTATAAATTTCAAAGAAGTCAAACTGAAGTTGGGATTGCTGGGATCTTTGTTGCAAACAATCACGAAGATCTCATGAAATGCCATCAACAACTGCTGTAGCAAATGTTAGAAAACTATTTATAGTGGCATAACACTTTATCCATACACCCTATGTGATGAATGGACATCACCTTTTTTTTTTCCTGGTCTCCAGAAATATTTTCCTATTTCCTACTTGCTATGCAAAAAGGATGAGTGAAAGCTTCTACAGCTGGTTAACTGAAATGAGGATCCCATGTCCGAAGTCTTTCCTGGGGAGGGCTTGCGNTCCTGGTCTCCAGAAATATTTTCCTATTTCCTACTTGCTATGCAAAAAGGATGAGTGAAAGCTTCTACAACTGGTTAACTGAAATGAGGATCCCATGTCCGAAGTCTTTCCTGGGGAGGGCTTGCGCCATTACCACTCGGATTAACGCCAGATCTTGGCCACAACCTGAAACCACCAAATTAGAGTTTGTAGTTACTTCTGTTCATCTTTAATCTAGAAAGCCTAGTTATTGCAGATTATAAGATATTACGAATCTCTATCTAATCATTTGGATACTATATACAACTAGATGCTGTTTCTAGCACTTGTATCACTGTACTTAATATTTATCTAATACCCGCTGTTGTATTTTGCCTCTCATTATTTTTAGAGGAACTGGTTTGGGCTTTTGGGGCTTTGCCCAGCAGATCCTACACCACATGGCTTCTGATATGATACAACTTTACTTCACTTGGTAGATTTTAATACAAGAGATTTATTGCTAGACAACTCTATATTTTCTATTTCTAGTTGGATATTGGCCATAGTCTTCTTTATTAGTTCTATATCACCTTTGCATAGTAGAGACCTGTTGGCTGTTGTAATTCTATTCGGAAAAAACTGGTGAATATGGTGGATCCTTTCCTTAATTCCTTTACTTATGATTCCAACTATAATTTTTTTTTATCTATTTCCTACATTAACGCTTGCAGAAAGCAGTCCAAGATCAACTGGCCCTTCATCAGGTGATGATTGGAGATCTGCATTCGATGCTGCAGCCAATGGTCCCACTGACTTGTCTAGGTATGGGTCCAATGGTCACAGTCGTCGGAACAGTGACCCTGCCCAAAATGGTGATGTAAGCCAAAGCTCAAACTCCAGCAGCCGACGCACCCCTAACCGCTTGCCACCTGCACCACCACAGTCTGGTTCTGGTTATAGATTTTAGCTTAGATAAATGTCGACACTGAAATATTGATGCATTCTTGTTGGGGGTGGGTGTTTGCTCCTGCTCCTATAGTAGCTCTGTATAATTGGTATACGCGTCTTTGTAGATAAACATTGCAATTTGTATTGCATTTTTGTCACTGTTTTCTAGTTGCTTGATATGAGATGTACTTGCAATGGGTTGCTGAGATTTTCTTTTTCTTCATTGGGTTACCCATATTCTCCATTTTTTATTGGACTTTACATATATATTTGAATTAATTTGTCAGAAATTATTAATTTCTCTCTCTCTCTCTGCATAATATTTTCTATTGTGGCTGTGGGGAATGAAAGTGTGGATTGGCAAGAGGCGGCCTTTCTCTCAGTGAAGTGTCGATTTTTGGTTGCTGCAACTGTTGAAAGACGCTAGGATGAAAATAGTGATTCTTTTTAGACATGTAATTCACTGAGTCGGTGAGCTTTGATTGAGGCTTTGAACTGGTATGGGTAGAGATTGAACTTAATCTCAGCTGTTATACCTCGAATGAAGCACAATGAGGGGAGATTGTGTTTGAGTTGCATTTCTTTAGGACCTATTGAACAATTCCTTTAGGACCTATAAAAACCTTGTATCTGGACCTATTAAACAATACGTCACTCCCACCCTCCCCCCTACCTACATTATGTCAGACCTCACCCAGAAACAATCTTTGATATCTCACCCATTGACCTGCAATCACCTCCCAAACATTTGGATTACGTTATACCACACCCAGAAACAACCTTGGAGAGCTTACCCATCAACCTGCAANCCCCCACCCTCCCCCCTCCCTACATTCTGTCAGACCTCACCCAGAAACAATCTTTGATATCTCACCCATTGACCTGCAATCACCTCCCAAACATTTGGATTACGTTATACCACACCCAGAAACAACCTTGGAGAGCTTACCCATCAACCTGCAATCAAACCCAGAAATAACCTTTGTTTCCCAAAGCCTCCTCTTACATCATGGTCAAGCAACCCAGAACACCATCTCTCATATAGCATAAACAGCTAGAGTATCAACCTTGCAACATCCACAATCAGCACAACCCAAACAGTTTTCCAAAAAACTACTTTCTCAATCTCATTTTCAAATTCGGAGGTCATAGTAGACCATTGTATGGCCCATGTCTTCCAGAGCNAACCTCCTCTTACATCATGGTCAAGCAACCCAGAACACCATCTCTCATATAGCATAAACAGCTAGAGTATCAACCTTGCAACACCCACAATCAGCACAACCCAAACAGTTTTCCAAAAAACTACTTTCTCAATCCCATTTTCAAATTCGGAGGTCATAGTAGACCATTGTATGGCCCATGTCTTCCAGAGCTTGTCAATTAAAAGGGGTCTTCCCCTTGGGGGTCAACAGGGGAGAGCTGCCCAAAATGTAAAGGAGAGAGGGTGGTTACTTGGCTTTCTTGCTAGAGGAAACAAAAAACTCTCAAGACTTGGAGGAACTAGGAGAAATGGAGATGGAGGAGCTTACAACTGTTGTATCAAGGTAAGCTGTTCGAAAATTTAAAAGGAGAAAGTCTGGTTGCATTGTGGAGAGGGAAGAAGCTTAACAAGTTCACCAACTCAGTGCTGAAGGTGCTGAGGAAATAGCTGAATTGGCTGGGGAGGCAGGCCTAACCGTGCCCCCAAATCCATCGTGAGGCTAATNACGGAGGAGCTTACAACTGTTGTATCAAGGTAAGCTGTTCGAACATGTAAAAGGAGAAAGTCTGGTTGCATTGTGGAGAGGGAAGAAGCTTAACAAGTTCACCAACTCAGTGCTGAAGGTGCTGAGGAAATAGCTGAATTGGCTGGGGAGGCAGGCCTAACCATGCCCCCAAATCCATCGTGAGGCTAATAGCATGGAACTGTCAAGGGGTAGGGGCCCCCTTGATAGTCCCAGGACTTATGCGTCCAATATTGACCTCAAATAATCTATCTCAGTGAAACAAAAATAAAAAAATACAAGTTAGAAAGAATAAAAAGGGAACTGAAATTTGATAAGAAGCTGGTGCAATTCCTATTGGATCAAATTGATTTATTTGTTAAGGGGCAGGGAGAAATTGGCCCGTGGCACCTTAGTTTCATAGATGGCAGCCTATACTATGATAATAGATGATAGCACTGGGATAGACTCGGTGCTTATGGAAGATGTTTGGAACTCCCCTAGCTTTGTATAGGGGATATCAATGATATTATATCCAATGCAGAAAAGGAGGGCATGAGGGAGAGGGCAGCCAACAAAATTTACAATTTCAGATCTTTTTTGATAATAGCAATCTTATTGGTTTGGAAAGTAAAGGGTGGAGGTTCACATGGGATAATCATCGAAGGGGAAAAGCTAATGTACAGAAAAGGTTGGACAGGGCTCTAGTCTCACCTAGCTGGAGATTAATTTTCCTTAATGCAGTTTTAATTGCCCACCCAGCAGTGAGTTCAGACAATTTTCCCTTGATTCTCAATACTGAACCTAGTAATGAGAGGCCTAAAAGATCCTTTAGGTTCGAGGCTTATTGGGCTGATGAGGAACAATGCTCTGAGGTAGTTAAGCATAGCTGGGAAAATTCTGTGGAGGGATCCAGAATGTACAAGTTACAGCAAAAGCTTAAGAACTATGGGAGAGACCTCAAGAGATGGAGCTTAAGCTAATTTTCTAACAACAGGAAGCAAGTGGAAAAGCTAAAACGAAACTTATGGAGCTACAAAACCAAAGCTCCCTTTCTCTGGCTCAAGAGGAGGTAGTAAAAATCAAAGAGAAAATAGGCAAAATTTAGCAAAGAGAAGAGAAGTACTGGGGACAGAGGTCAAGACTAAAATGGATCAAATATCGGGATAGGAACACAAGCTTAGCTTCTTCCATGCAACCACAATCCAAAGGAGGAACAATAATAGACTGGTAAGGCGGAAAGACAATAATGAAGAATGGGTTACAAGGAAAGTAAATATCAACTCATTGATCCATGAACACTACCAGGCTATTTATGCTATTAAGGGAGGGAGAGACTACCAGCAGATTCTTCAGACAGTACCACAGGTGTAACCAGCACAAATGATTAAAGACTTGATGACGTTACCCACAATTGAGGAGGTTAACACACATTGTTTTCAGTAGGGGAGCACAGAAGGCACCAGGACTTGATTGTTGCAGAAATTACCCCAGGAATCGAATTTGGACCGATCTTGACACTCACACTTAAGAGGACAATCACACAAAATAAAACAATTTACGTAGTTCGGCAATTGCTTACGTCCACGACAACTACCTACGTCCACGACTACAACGATCGGATGTTTTCATTATTTGGAGTAAACAAGGATTACAAGAACAATTGTTCCAAACCTCATAAGTACTCACTCCAACAAATGAGGATCACTCTGATATCTCACTGGTATCGCTTATAGATCTGAGAACACTCAAATTGATACCTGATATCACTCAGGAGAACTCATAACTCTCAAATGTTTGAGCTCTCAATTTTCTGATGCTTAACTTCTGCCAGGACCTCCCTTTATATATGGAATTTGGAGAGTAAATGGACAAAGTTTCATATCATTGCAAATCTGCACTTGAACTACACATCGACGCTTGAGCCTATTTTTCTTTGCATAGCCCACATGTAGTCGACCTGTGCCCATCACCTTTGCTACTCATTTTGTCAAATGATGAGCCTCCCTATGTTCATGCTGTGACGCCTCAAAAATCGGGAATCCTTAATTTAATAAAATTCGGGTAACGTCTTCTTTGTATGGGGAGCTCTACAAAAAATATAACCTGTGCAATTATACTACATTAACCACACCGGGTCCATTTATGAATAAACATTGACCACACCGGGTCCATTTATGAATAAACATTGACCACACCGGATCCATTTATAAGTAAACATCGACCACACCGGGTCTATTTATCCATACTTATATAACCACATGCAATTTTTTTTTTACATTGAAACAGTCCATATGAGTTCGATTACGATTCTTTTATATTTACATGCCAAAATTAAGTTTTTACAATAATTTTACAAAATCTCAAAATAAAGTCACATCTCGACTTTTTCTCTTCCTTAAGGGCCCGAATGAGAGTCATCCACTGGCGTGTATCCCGCACCAGAAATGTTGTCTCATAAAGGATGAGTCACGTTCAATAAGATATTTCCTAAAGAGGCTACTCCCCAACCTAGATGCATATGAAATGTTCACATGCGATAATCAACCATTCAAAACATTTCAATCAAGAATATGCATTCAATGATAAGAATCCTATGTCATGCCATGAAATGAGATGAGACTTACTCATGCACTTCAACCCGAGCCCACTCTGGCTCATTCAACACAATGCAATGTCAATGTGTATAAATTCGTCATTGATGATATACGTCCAATAATCTTTTTAAAACAAAATCATGTGTCTTTGTTATAAAACAAAATTATGTGTCTTTGTTGGACGTTACACATCGAATGACTATTTTATAAAACAAATACACTTTTTCAGAATTTCACCTCAGGGGAGTGTGTGAACCAGGTATTTTGTAAAACAAAATCGTGTGTATTTGTTGGGTAGAGGAGTGTTGGTATCGCATCGCTGGTTCCGCACACCAATATACTTTTCCAAAATTTCACCTCAAGAGAGTGTATAAACCAGGTAATCAAGTATTTCACCCAAGGGAGAATCTAGCCCTGCTTGTTGTACCCGACACAAGTTTTTCATGCAACCGTGCAACTCAATTAGAACCTCGTTCCAACTTTTTCCGAGCCCACCCATCATCCACCAAGTATGGTGTTTGATCGAACCATGTATATAAACGCCCACACTCACGTCCAATGCCCATGAATGTGATGTCTACATCATGCTCAATATGTAATGAATGTCAAATGAACAATTTTCACCATTCTATTGTCAATTATATCAAAAGCATATAATGTCCACAATTCATCATAATGCAAACATATCATAAAACATATATTAACATTATATCCAATAACAAATCCCAAGCATGTTAGCACATACTCAATGCCAATAACACACTTAATTCACAAGGCACAATATAAATACATAGCATGCCCACATAATACAATTTTTCTAAGAAATCACATTATCTATGCAAACATACTTAATTTTACATTTGCATTTAATCAAACACCTTCAAGGCACCCAATCATGTAATCATATACATACCCAAATTACATCACATAGTTCAAGAATCACATTAGGTAATTTCTACATACCCAATTTAAGATAGAATTTATTAT